AGAAATGGCCATGCCCCACCATTGCCGAGTAAGGGGAGAACAGAATTGGTGATTTATAATAATTTTATATACATTATTTAGGACTGGTATCCTTCGAGTTAATTCTTCTAGTTCCTCTCTCAGTTTGTTCTCTAAATTTGAATCTGGACCACCACGTTTAAATACCTGACACTTAGAGACGTTTAACAGCTGATTTCAGAAGGCATACTATAAATGAATGATACACCAATACAATTTTGTTCCAGTGATTAAAACCTATTTGTTCGTAGAACCAAAAGAGAAAACTTCAAGAAAAATATTAAAACAATTTTTTTTCAGGCTGAAGAAACCATTTAATCCATTTTTAAGATATCTAACAACAATGTTTTTCTTATAAAGATCAAAAAAATATATATATTATGTATAAAGAAACTAGCACAGAGCCAGGCATGTAACACAACACATTACATCCTTTCTCTGTCTATAAATGTAAAAGCAAGTATGGTCGGCGTGGTTAACAAATCTTTTGTCCAAGGAACAAATTTCTTAAAAAATTTAAATGTTGGGCCAGCACAATGGCTCACGCCTGTAATCCTGAAGTCACTCTGAGGCTGAGCGTGATCATCATATCTTTGTCCAGTGACAGTGCAGATTACAGCAAGAGTTCTCCCCTGCCTGGATTAATGGTAATTGATTTCTAAAATATATCAGAGCTTTCGAAGATTGAAATACACAAATCTTCATCCCTCAGGCCTCCTTGCCTGCATAGGAAACCACCAAATGGTAAGAGCATTTATCACGAATAGACACATCAGGCCTCACAGGCGCTGGACAGGAATCACAAATGCTTGTTCCACGTGATGTCTTCCATTAACCTGAAGCCTTTGGTTTATTGTGTTTAGCAAACCACTCATCACTTTTATCTGCTGCCATTGCCTAAAGAAACAGAAATGGAATATACATTTATTCCAAGCCTGAAAAACAAAGATATAGCCCACTTTATACTTCATTGTACTATCCATAATCAAAAAAATTAACATTTAAAGAGTGTTCACCCAGTATAATGTTCAATGTGACAGGAGATGCTGTTGAGTACTGAGCAAATTGCTTATGGATTCTCACTCTGCAGAGTAAGGGGCAAAGCCTGAGCCAGAAAGTGTGGCTAGCTGACCAACTCTAGCAGTGACCAAGCATGCCAGGCTATGGGGTCTTTGGTAGTACGGAAAGTACTGTCACTGTTAGCATCAGGGTAGACGCTCAAGCATCTTTAGCGTTCATGAGACTCAAGGCCAAATATGAAAAGCTATCTGATGTTATAGCTATTGAGCCTGGAATGATTCCCTTTTTCTAAGCCTCCTCCTAGCCTACTCCACTGATGTTGGTTCTATTCAGTTAGTTTTGGAAGCCTTGTTAATAATAATGTTTTGGTTCCATAAGCACCCTTTTAGCTGTTTAGTAAGGAAAAATTCATTTATTCAGTCAAAAAGCAAGCACGGAAATACCTTCTAAAAACTAACAATTTTCATGATGAGCTAGGTACTATGCTAGGTTCAAATGTGGCAGCAGAAACAGTCTGAGGCTTTTAGGAGTGTACAGAACAGCTGAGGACTCAGATATGAAGCAATTATTTTGCATGAAGCAGTGTATGTGTGTGTGTGTGTGTACGTGTGAATGTGTGTATGTGTCTGTCTTGGGGTGTTTGCTGTAATAGAGTAATAAACAAAATGATATCAACCAAAAGAAAAGAAGCAACTGACTGGTTGGAGAAATGGTGTAAAAACACTCATCTACCTCAGCAGGAAGTCACAAGATGATCCCAGCAATTAAAAAGAGGAAAACAGAAATACATTTTTTATTTAGAAACAGTCAAGCTGAAAGTGGCTATCCTGGGTAGCAGGATTCAGAGATGGGGCAAGACATTCTTGTATTTCATTTACATAAAATCTTAGTACTATCTTATTATTTTGATAAAGAGTATTTAAAAATCAAAGATATGCTAAAAAACAAAACAAAACACAACTCATAAACATGCAGAAGTTTCTGTCTTTTAGTAGTCATAAAAAGTAGGAGGAAAGAACAGCTAACTCTGGTTTGGAGAACCCAAGATAGTTTCTGAGTTTTGAAGGACAAGTTGAAGAAGTGGTGGGATACCCTTTGGGTAGTGGCAAGCAGATATATTTTGGCTAACATAAATGTTCAGTGGGACTGAAATGGGGGTGAGCTAGGGGTCTTAGGGAGGGAGACAGAACAGGAGATCAGAGAGTAAGGAAGAGCCAGATATGTTACATGTTCTGCCAAAGAGTATGAAATGTTATCTTGGAGGCAAGATAAAGCTATTATATTAAATAGCTTTAAAAATTACTCGATTTCTGCTTTGGGATGGACTGGAAGTTGGCAGGAGGCTTTTGCAGTTTTATAGGTGACAATGAGGGCCTTTCAAAGGGAAGAAGTAGACAGACAAAAGAAATTTCAGAAGTAGAACTCACAGCTTGTGGTGACTAATAAAAATTCAGGGGTGAGTAGAAACAACATTCAAAAGTGGCTCTGTCTATAAATCTAAAACTATTTCATAATAAAAAGTATATTAAATGTTTAAAAAAACCCCAAACTGGCTCTGAGGATTCTAGCTTGAACGACTGGGATAACAGATACACTATGCTGTCCAGGGGAGGGAGCAGGATATAGAAAAAAAAGAAATGGTTGCAAAGTCCGAAAGACTCTGTCCAAGCCCTTGTCTTCCACTTACTGAATGTATGATACTCATGGATGAGTGGCTTAATCTTTTTGAGCCTCAGTTTCCTCATTTGCAAAGGGGGATGCTTATCAACCTTGCAGCTTGTGGTAAGAATTACAGAATATATATATAAAGCATTTAAGAACTTCTCAATATAAGAGATACTTAATAATAAATAGTAACCTTTATTTAATATTATTAAAAGAAGAATAGTTTTGAGGTAAGATAAGTTATAGACATGCTGAGTTTGAAATGCCATGAGTTTCCCAGATGAAGAGATTCACTGGCTACAACACACTGTTCTGGATAGAAAAGGCACTACACATAAAAGAAAAAGTTGGTAAGCTGGACTTCTTCAAGATAAAGAATTCCTGCTCTTCAAAAGACTCTATTGTAAACAATATAAATAACCAAGCCACAGGCTTGGAAAAGTACTTGCATTTGCAAGTGATGTCATCGAGGTATAAAAGAAAATTGCTTACTTTTTACTTCTTTTAAATTGTCTTAAAATATGTAGGACAGAATACTGAAGTATTTAAGGGGAAAGGACATGATATCTGAGATTTGCCTTAGAATTTCCCAGGGGAGGAAGGAGGGAAGGAAAGAAAATTGGGGGTGGTGGAAAAGAATGATGAAAAATTATGGTACAGAATTGATGGGTAAGAGTCATATAAGGATTTGTTGTCCTCTCTTTTGTGTATATTTGGAATTTTAACCATGAAATATTTAAAAATGAAACCTATTATTAAAAAATGGACAAAAGATTTGAATGTATAATTCAAGACAAAGGAAGATAAGCAAATGGCCAATAAGCATATGAAAAAGTGCTCAACATCATTAGTCATCAGGGCAATTACAAATTAAAACCACCTGTAATCCTAGCATTTTGGGAGATTGAGGCAGGAGGATCACTTAAGGCCAGGAATTCAAGACCAACCCAAGCAAGAGCTAGACAGAAAAATTAGCTGGGCGTGGTGGCATGCACCTGTACACCCAGCTACTCGGCTGAGGCAGGAGGATCACTTAAGCCTGGAAGCTTAAGATTGCAGTGAGCTACGATGAGGCCACTGCACTCTAGCCCAGGTGACATAGCAAGACCCTGTCTCAAAATCAAAACACAATGAGAAACCATTTTACTTATGCTAGGATGGCTAAAAAAAAAAAAAAAGCCCCACGAAAAACAAAAAACTAAATGTTGGTGAGGATGTAAAGCAATGGTCCAATTGCTTTGGACAACTGTTTGGCACTTTCTTATAAGCAATTCTACTCCTAGGTAGTATCTACCCAAGAAAAACAAAACATTTATCTATAAGAAGATTTACACAAGGAGGTTCATAACAGTCTTCCTTATAATAGATAAAAATTGGGAAATAACTCAAATGTCCACCATCAGAAGAATGGAAAAATTATTATATTCATAAAACTGAATGTCACTCAGCAATAAAAAGAACTACGATATATATGATCACACAGAAGAATCTCAAAAATGTTGAGTAAAATAAGCCAGGCACAAAAAAATACCTACAGAATGATTCCATCTGTATGAAGTCCAAGGACAAAGAAAACAAGCCTGCAGTGACAGAAATCAGAATGGTAGATGCCTCTGGGAGATGGGGGTGCAAACTAACTGGAAATGCGCATGAGGAAACTTTCTGCAATGATAAAAATGGTCTACACTTTGTTTTAAGTAGTGGTTGTATGAGTATATACAGTGGTCAAGATACATTTAAATTCTACTTAAGCTATGCCTTGTCAACAACTATATGCCTGGAGCTCAGGAAGGAGTTAGGAACTAGAAATTAGGAAGGCAGAGATTGGATGACGGTGGCAGTTCAGAGCAGAGGTAACCAGAGTAGCAGGTAACTTCTCCTCAGAGTAAAGGGAGAATGCAGAATGAGAATAAAAGACAGCCAACGTGGAAAAAAACATTTTGTGATTACATACAGAAAGAGGTGCCCATGACTGAAGAGAAACTGTCAGAGAGATAAGGAAATGGCAGGGTCTCTAACACCAAAGGAGAAGAGAGCTCAAAGGAGGAGGAGGTTCACTGATGGTATAAAAGAGTGAGAAGGAAAAAGTCTAGCAAATTTGCCGGCTGAAAGAATGACTGAGATTCTATTTTCCTTCACGATAACATTTATAAAGGCTGTATTTTCTACACATTTCCTGCTTTAATTGATATTGAGCACCTGCTATTATGTCAGCAGTTTGCCAAGATCTATAAACCACAAGAATCTTATGAGGTAGATAGTCTTATGTCCTCAAATTTTTAGATAAAGAGACTAAAGTTCAGAGAATCTGAGGAAATTGCTTAAGGTCAGTCACAGATATTAAGTGACAGAACCAGGGTAGACCGATTCATTCCTTTACTCATTCAACTAAGTATTCTCAGAATGTCTACATGCCAGGTCTGTGCTAGAAGCTGGGACCTAACAGTGAATGACTGCTCTGAATGCTGCTGAGTGAGTTTGATGAGAAACTAAAAGTAGTTGCTGGATTTGGCAAGATGGAGGGCGTTGGGCACTGATGACATCAACATAAAGAACAGACTGAAGTGTAAACAGGAGGTACAAAGTAGAAACAGTGTGCAGACAGATTTTTAAAAGAAGGAATCTGGCTATAAAGAAATCTGGAGAAGAGATATGGGGCCAATAAAAGGTTTGTAAAAGATGAGAGCTATTGGAGCTTGTTTGATTACTGATGAGCACAATTCACTAGAAAGGAAGACACCGATACTATCAAATGGAGAGATGACCAAAAGAGCTCTGGAAATGAGAGGGGGTGGTGTCCAGGCATTTCCATTCACTGAGCAAAATAATGTTTACAGGAGCAGTGGTTTCCCATGGCAGCCTGAGGTAGCAGGAAGGCACAAATATTGAGTCCAGATAAGGGGTCACATAGGTGGCAATGAAGACATAGGTCCTTCACTTAAAAGTCACCCCATAGCAAAAGGACATGGTTCTTACAGTAAGAACTTGGATGCTGCTGCTTTGGCCCTTCCCCATACAAACTTAATGCCATCCCCTTGAGGCCTATGGTGATATCAATTTAGAAACGAGACTCACATCATCTAACAATTTGCTTCCCTCTGGATCCATCTTAGAAAGTTCTCGAAATGCTTCATCCCCAACAAAGCAAATTTCATGTCCATCCTACATCAATTAAGAGAAAAGAAATTTGGCAAACAGACATCTCTGAAGAAACTCCTGGTACAGCCTGTCTCCTTCCTGAGTAATACTTACCGGGTCAGCCAGAATGACCACTTGCACCGTTGCCTTCCCTGGGGTATCCAGGCTCACCAGAGGAGTCAGAATCTTCTGGTTCTCCCTTTTCATCAAGTCTTCCAAGCCTGGCAACTTGAGGAAAACACGGAGGCAAAGTGGGTAAAGGGTCACGAAGTACTCTTATGGCATGGCCTTCATCAGCTCTAGAACACTATCAGATCAGCCAGAGAGAACCAAGGCGCCACTTGTTTGATTTTATTATCTCAGCCGCTCTTGAAACAACTGTTGAACTTGATACCAAAGCCACAATCAGAATGAACCTCAAGAAGGGAAGGGCAAGCTTCTTAGTTTGGTTGACCTAGCTAATCACAGAGCTTAAACAAAAGATTTCGTATCAAACATTACCTCCTTTTGGGGGCAAGAAAAGGCAATTCTTCCAAATGCTGCTGCATGGTCAACTACACCCTTGATGCCCTGCAGCTCCAGTTTACACTGAAATAAGAAAGTAGGTTTATTTTTTGGAACAGGTTATACATGTATATAGTAAAAAAAAAAAATCCAAGCAATATACTAAAGTAACAAAGTGAAAACTAAGTCTCTCTTCTTCTATCACCCTAGAGAGAACTAGTCAGCAGTTTCCTGTGTATCCTTCTAGACACATTGCATGCATATATCTTTTTACACAAATAGAACAATTTAAAAATTATTCTGTTCCTTGTTTTCTTCCACTTACTATTATCAGTACATAAAACTTGCTCTAGCCTTTTTGATAGCTATATAGTAATCCATTCTATGAATGAAACACAAATTACTGAAATATTCCTTTAATCCATAGGACACTGAAATCCTTATATTTTGCTATTACAAACAATGCTGCAACAAATAACCTTGTACACAATTCTTTATGCATATGTATGTTGAGCATATATGTAAAACAATTTCTAGGAGAATTGTTGTTGGGTCAAAGTGCAAGGACTAAATCATGTTCAAATACTAGGCTATTTTCTTTTTTTTTTTGAGACAGAGTCTCACTCTGTTGCCCGGGCTAGAGTGCTGTAGTGTCAGCCTAGCTCATAGCAATCTCAAACTCCTGGGCTCAGGAGATCCTCCTGCCTCAGCCTCCCAGGTAGCTGGGACTACAGACATGTGCCACCATGCCCAGCTAATTTTTTCTATATATTTTTAGTTGGCCAATTAATTTATTTCTATTTATAGTAGAGATGGGGTCTCGCTCTTGCTCAGGCTGGTTTCGAACCCCTGACCTTGAGCGATCCACCCATCTCAGCCTCCCAGAGTGCTAGGATTACAGGCGTGAGCCACCGCGCCCAGCCTAGGCTTTTTTTTTAAAAATGAAAATACAGGGCCGGGCGCGGTGGCTCACGCCTGTAATCCTAGCTCTCTGGGAGGCCGAGGTGGGCGGATTGCTCAAGGTCAGGAGTTCAAAACCAGCCTGAGCAAGAGTGAGACCTCGTCTCTACTATAAACAGAAAGAAATTAATTGGCCAACTAATATATATAGAAAAAATTAGCCGGGCATGGTGGTGCATGCCTGTAGTCCCAGCTACTCGGGAGGCTGAGGCAGCAGAATCGCTTGAGCCCAGGAGTTTGAGGTTGCTGTGAGCTAGGCTGACGCCATGGCACTCACTCTAGCCTGGGTAACAAAGTGAGACTCTGTCTCAAAAAAAAAAAAAAAATACAGCATGCATTAAATGTTATCTACATCTCTTCTGATTAAGTAATTCCACTTCTGAAAGAATATATCCCCAAATATACACAAAGGTACTATCTGGGTGGTGAGGTAATCACTAATTTTTATTTTCTTCTTTCTGTTTATCTGTATAAATGTTGAATCACTGAAGAAAGTATGCGAACAACTTTCATGTTAACCTCATTTATAAGCCAAACTCAAAGTAATAGGTTAGTTATTTCTCTCCAAGATTGTTCACCTGGTTATCAGCATAGCCCAGCAAAGCCCTTTGCTTCTTTTCATCTTTTTCATAAATTTTCATTCCCAGTAGATTAGACCAGTAGTTCAAGGACTTCTGAAGATCAGACACTGTTAGAGTTACTTTTAATACAGGATCTGTTGGGTAATAAAATAGCAAGAATAGACAGGTCAGTTGAATGGAATAGAATAGAAAGACCAAAACAGGCTCATGTATATAGAAGAATTTAGTTTATGGTAAGAAAGGGATTTTAAGAGTATGAACGAGAACATTATTCGATAAATGGCACTGAGATAACTGGCTCACCATTTGGTAGGAAAAAGTTACACCTTTGAACTAAATGACAAAATACATTCCCGATGGGATAAAGGATTAGAGGTTTATGGAATGAAACCATGAAAATATTAGATACAGATGATTATTTATGCAATTTTGGCAGGAAGATTTTTCTTTAAACCTGACTCCAAAGATAGAAAAACTATGAAGAAAAAAAGTCTCCTAGGTCAATTAAACAAAATGGAAAACTCCTATACAAAAATCACACAAAAAAGTAAGAATTATAATTAAAATTAAAGAGTAAACAACAAAATAGAAAAAAAAAAACAACAACATATAGGATAAAAAAATCCTTAATATATAAATCACCTTTAAATATTAAAAGGAAAAAGATGAACATCTATGAAAAATAGGCAAAAGGCAAAAAGTAGTAATCCACAAAAGTAATTGGAATGATCAATGAACATATGAAAAAATATTCAACCTCACAAATAATCAAAGAATTAGAATTCAAATAAAATATTTTGTTATCTAATGGCAAATAATTTTAAAAGTTCACAGTATTAATTGTTTTAGTACAGGGGGGTAGAAATCATAATCTAATATAATACTGGCAGAGTATAAATTAGGACATTTCTGGGCAACAATTTGACAGAATGTACCAAAAGCCTTAAAAATGTTCATTGCTTTTGAAAGAGCAAGTCTATTTTCAGCAATTCAAAAAGTAATTGTGGATGTATGAAGGGCTTTTACCACAAAGACATTCATCACAACATTGCTTAGAACAATGAAACACTAGGAACAACATAAATACCCAACAATAGAGAATTATTTATCTTCCTACAATGTAATAACACAATGGAATTCCTACAATGGAATACAAAGAGATGTACATACTTTTTTTTTTTTAAATAAAAGATTAGAAAAATACTCTAAAATGTTAACAGTAGTTCTCTCTGGATAGGTGGGGGGGTACTGTTTTCTACTTTCTTTTTTTTGTTTTCTTTTCTTTTGCTTATCTGTTTATCTAAGGAAAAAATATATTATTTTGTAAAAAGAATAAAAGTTATATTAAAACTACTAACATTACTGGAAACTTTATATTATTATAAAGTGACTTTCTGAAGAGCTGTTCCATTTCTGCATCTGACTATGATAAATTGAATACATTTTTTTCTGGTTTTCACTGCCTCAGTCTTGTTTGCTAGAATTTTAATACCAATACTAAGACAAGTGTTTCTCAGGAGTGCCTCTGCCTGGCAGACTCAATTTTCATTCTCTCCATTCATTTAAAAATCAACAAATCCCAACTGATTCAGAGCATTAAGGGATATAGGACAGGAATGGTAACAAGTGGGTAAAATTGCACAAGAGCAAGTAGTTCTAAGGCAGGCTGAATGCCAGCTAGACAGACAGACTGACTACATTATCAATCAGAAATTAATGCTGAAAAGTTACTACTATTTCAAATGACAAAAAAATCTTAGGTTTGTGGGGCTCTCTGTTAAGTACTAAAATATCACAAAGACTAGAGGGGAAAAAAAGTACAGTGGAGTTAGTTGCAGGAGTTAAGTTTTAAAGTCAGTATATAAAGCAACAATCACCTGTAAACAAAAATAACCATAAAAATCCCTTCAATCACCAGTAAAGTACGGAAATATCATCTCTCTAAGTCCCACATAGCCAGTCTGACCCCCCACACTGGAATGGTTTTTCTTCTGCTGAGCAAAAGATGAAAAACTAATAGCATTAAATGCTATAATCAGACTCAGTATGACAGGCATTTGGGACCTGAGGCAGACCAGTGGGGGAAAGAGAATTTATATGCTCTCTTCTCAGGTCCACTCTAGGTGTACATTCACTAAGTGAAAAGGCAGGCAGAATTGCCCTTGCTATTCACCAGTAGTTTCCCCCCTTTTGGCTTCTGTTTTGGTGGGGCAGGCAGTTGAATTGGCAGGAATGAGGCTGCTTCTGTAGTAAACAAAACACACCTTGCAAAGCTTCTTGCTTAGTCTGTGCAGAGTCAGCATGGTGGGCTCCTCCCTTTCATTCCCTCACTCACTCAAGTGCTGGGGAAACTGACCTGGCTCAAAGGGCGTGGCTAACTGGTTTAGGGATAATCCTATTTCTCTTGCCAAGGATTGGTTCAGGAGCAGGCACAGTGTATCAAATCTGACCAGGAAGTTTGCTGGAAGTTTCTAGGAAAGTTTTCCTCTGCTCTTAAAAAGGCATAATAAGAAGTTGGTCTTTCCCTGTCCTACCAGATGTGAATGTGGGAGCCAATTGCTACTGGCACCATGAGAGGACTAGCTCTAGGAGAAGTACCCCAAGGACAACAGAATATCGAAAGAGAAAATCTGGGTTCTTGATGCCATTGCTGAGCTACTGAATCAACTAACCCTGAACCTGCTCTGTGAGCTAAGAAATTTTCAAATTGTTCAAACTATTTGGGTTTTCTGTTATTTGCAGCTGAAATAATCCTAAATTAATACATTACCAGTAGAATAGAACCAGTCTAGATCCCCTGTAGTTATGTTCTAAATTTCTAATATGACAATACACTTTCTCAGAGAACAGGTATAATAAAAACACTGGCTTGGAAAGTCGCATGTCATATCAATAGAGACTCTACAACAGAAAGAAATGCAGCTCTCTCTCTCCTTCAGTCAAAGATGCCTTGAAACAGAGGCTTTTACTAGTCCTGATATAATTACCTGATTGGGGTAGATTGCAATTCTGCAAGTAGAACTTGTATCCTCCTGGGGCCTCAGTTTCAAAAATACCTTCTGCAACTTCAGTGAGTGGCCACTGTAGCTTCTTAGCATTGCTGACAGCCTGGCTAGAAGCGAGCGTGATACCCTATAACAAACAATGGTATCATCACAACAGATCTTTTATAGAACATGATAATGAGCCCAAACTCCACTGCCTTTAGGTCAAATCACCTCAGATTTCATTGGCATTCAAAATTTTCTTCTAGTGATTTTAATACAGGTTTTGCATGTTTTCTTCCACAAAAATTCAGACCTTCATGAATCACAGGACAGAAACTGAAATGCCAGTGAAGTCCGATTCATTTAATACCAAAGATAACCTCTTCTAATTTTAAAGCTCTTACAAGAGAAATCTTAGTCTTATCTTGGCCTGTCAGCTACCTGTTTAAGATGATTTGCTTTTGCTTATTTAACAATTCTTAAATTTAATCAAAGTAGCTAGAAATGTATACCTACATCTTTTGTTTTGAGACAGAGTTTCAACTCTGTTGCCCAGGCTAGAATGCTGTGGCATCAGCCTAGCTCACAGCAACCTCAAACTCCTGGGCTCAAGCAATCCTTCTGCCTCAGCCTCCTGAGTAGCTGGGACTACAGGCATGTGCCACCATGCCCGGCTAATTTTTTCTATATGTTTTTAGTTGGCCAATTCATTTCTTTCTATTTTAATAGAAACATGGTCTCGCTCTTGCTCAGGCTGGTTTCAAACTCCTGACCTTGAGCGATCTGCCTGCCTCAGCTGCCCAGAGTGCTAGGATTACAGGTGTGAGCCACCGCGCCCGGTCTACACTTACATCTTCTGATGAAAGACCAGCCTGGTTTCTGGCTTGGATTTTTCAAGCAGCCTTTCTGGCTCCAGTCTTGTCAATCCATCATCCACTCTGCAGTTAAAGTAAACTTTCCAAACACAACCTACAGGTCTATTCTCAAGAGAGTCGCCAGACCTGTTTTTTCTCTGCTCAAAAGCCTCCCATGGCCCTTCATATCCCTCAGAGATGGCTTATGATGGCCTAAAAGGCCCAACACAATCTCACCCCATGCCAATTCTGACCCTGCCTCCCACTACTATCCCCTTGCTCTCTCTAATCCAGCCACATTAGCTTCCTTGCACTTTCTGGAACATGCCAAGTGCTACTTGAGGGCTTCAGCACAGGCTATTCTCTGTCTGGACTGCTCTTCCCCCAGATATCCACATGGCTAACTTCCTTGCCTCCTTCGAGCCTGTGTTCAAATGTCACCTCCTCATTGACACACCCCCTCAACACCCTGAAAATTAAAACCAACCATCTACCCTAGCCAAAAACCTGCTAGAAAAAAATGATATTTACCAGGAAGTCGTTGCCAAGCTTGTAGTCTCCGATGCCGTAATTGTAAGTTAGTTCTACAACAAAATGATCATCCTCAGGCCCAAATCCCACCATTGTTTTACTCCATCTCCCATCATAAGGCCTAGAAAAATGAAAGTAAATGCACTCATGACCACAGACAAAATTTGCCCCAAGACACCCGTTGGACACAGAGATGTGGGAAGTCTATTCTGGTTCTAAAAGTACTCGTAAGGATAAGATAATTTCAGATGGTGCTGAAAGAACCTGTGGACAGTGCTCATGGGCCCCAACTTCAAGGTCCAAATAGCATCCATTTGGTATTTACTTGGGGAAAAAATTGTTTTGCCTTTTCTTTAATGCAAGGAATGGAATCCTAAAGACAATTCTGATTTGACCTTAGTTTATTTCTTTGTATAACAATCAACAAGCATACAATTCACAACAGGCTAGGATTACAGGTGTGAGAAGTTTCCAACTTGCTATGGCTACTAAACTTAAAAGATACTCAATAGCCATTGCTTCATCTAGGGCATATATTCATTTGTGTTTGTGATTAATATGAAATACATTTGGTCTTAGTCCCTGGTTCCTGTCACAGAGCTCCTAAAATTCTTGGAATTTCCTGAGTGACAGGAATGTTTTTCATTATTCACAATGAGCCCCTTTCAATCATACCTGAGTATATGCTAACAGTGACTTAGTAGCAAATTATCAAACCCAAGGTGGGGGTGTGGGAACCTCTGTCAGAAATCTGGAGGTCCAGACTTGTGATGGGCATCTGAAGAGGGGCCAGCCTTGTGAGCCTTTAATTTGTGGGATCTGAGACTAATTCTAGGTAGAGTCAGAACTGAATTAAGTAACCAGCTTAATTAAGGACACCCAGCTGGTATTCAGAGACTTAGAAAACTGCTTGTTGTGTCATGAGTGTTGTATGAGAATATAGAGAAACTGAGTATGTTTTCCCAGTGTTCTTAAAGTTTTTTGCTCTCTAATTTATTGCTTCATTTTTTTATTCCACTGCCTTGTACTCACTTTGAGAAACTGTCTTCTCTTCTCCAGTAGTCAAAGCCTAGAGGAGATTTTAAGAAACAAGGTATCATACCCATTACAGGAAGCTTTGCAGCCTTCTTCAAATTCCTCATGCCGCAGAACCTGGTAAGGGAATTAGAATAAATTATAAAGTTCTACTAGTACTGTTCACAGCATCTTTAGCACAAACTAAAATGTCAAAACACAGATATTATCATTTGTAAGCTCTACTTGTAAAAGAACAAAAGAGAATGAGCTTTATACCTTTTCTAGGCTAGAAGTAGTAGAGGTAAGGAAGAACAGCTTGACATCAAGGGTCAGGCTACCAAGTTAAGTTGTGAAATCTATTTAGATTGGGAAGCAGTGCTGTGTAGTGGGGAAGAAGTATGTCTTTCAACATTAGAGAAGTCTGATTTGGAATTTCAACTGTCATGTAGTAGTTGTGTAACTCTACTAAATTGAGTAAGTCAGATCTGAGCCTGCAATCTCCTGATGTATTATGAAAAAGGATAACTTGGCCGGGCGTGATGGCTCACCCCTGTAATCCTAGCACTCTGGAAGGCCGAGGTTGGAGGACAAGCCTGAGCATGAGCGAGACCCCCGTCTCTACTAAAAATAGAAAGAAATTATCTGGACAACTAAAAATGTATATAGAAAAAATTAGCCGGGAATGGTGGTGCATGCCTGTAGTCCCAGCTACTCGGGAGGCTGAGGCAGAAGGACTGCTTGAGCCCAAGACTTTGAGGTTGCTGTGAGCTAGGCTGATGCCACGGCACTCTAGCCTGGGCAACAGGATAACTTATTAAAGCATCTAACACAGAACGTTGTACATACTAGGCTCTCAATGTGTTAGTTTTTATTTTCCTTTTTGACTTCTACTACCACTGCTCCAGTTCAATCTCTGATCACGTCTCTCAGGCCATTAAAAATTATCTTTATTGATCTTCTTCCTTAACACCACCATAAATATATGTCTCTGAAACACAGCTCTGATCACAATACCACCCTGTTCAAAAATGTAAGTGAGTTCACTACTTACTGCAACATAAAATCCAAATTCCTTGGCCTAGAATTCAAGATACTATAGAAGCAATCCCTTCCTATTTGTCCTGATATCCTATCTCCTCAACTTCAACTAAACAACCTTAGCTAAAGGCATATAAAACTAGTGGTTTCCCAAACATGTGTTATTTTTGTACTGGCTATTCAGTTTTTCTAGTATAACTCCTCTCCTTAATCCATCTGTGGAAATCCTGTCTATAAAAGTCAACTTGTATGCACGGTCTCCATGAACTATATTTTCTGACCACCTAGGTTGGAAAATCAATCCTTCTTTTGTGTTTTAATAAATGAGCAAACACATCTACTACCTATGTGTCAAATACTATGCATATAATGTGTTTAATCTTCACAACAATCCTTTCATCAATGAGGAAATAAAATAAGGGAAAGCTTTGCAGATTTCTGCCATCACTTATCAAATTCTGACTTCATTAAGGTGGGCTATGTACAAATCTAAATCTCACTCCCACCCCAACCCAGACCGTGACTCTGAGGACATATACCAGGGTCATTCACACATTTGTTGCCAAAATTCTACATAGTATCCTGAAACATAGCAGATATTTTAAAAATGACTGACGAATTCAGTTAACTTCTTTTGCACTCCACGTCTACTGCACTGTCTCTACATTACACTGCGCTCTTGCACCTCTTAAAGCCTTCCTTACTGGTGTACTCCCTGACTTATCAAGAACTCCCCAACAACTTCCACCTGCGTTTTCCAGCCAAATGATCCCGGGCAGGATCACAGCTTCTCAGGACTGAGGAGAGAGGCCGATTCCCAGTGTTGGAAAGGAGACGGATTCTGACCTCATATTTAGATCTGGATTATTGAAAGGAGAGTCGGAGCATTTCCCAAGAGAGACTGAGTATCCGAGGGGGACTATTGAGACCAGGCCTGATAAAAGCAGAACTTTGAATACGCTGATTACGTAAACCAAAGGCTCCAAACCGGAAGAGACTGAGTTACTGTTAATTGGAAAAGCATTATATAACTTTTTAATTACTGTCTTTCTCAACAGACTGTAAGCTCCACAAGGGTGGGGCTCAATAAATATTTGTGAGTGAACTTAAATCAAAGAATGTGCGTGGGCACACGGTTGGTGACTAAGTGTAAGCCCCCTTTCAAAGGCCTATTAACCCAATTTGCGACTCGCAACACTTCCTGAAGCTGAACCCCATGCAGGCTCAACCGGGTGTCCCGGGCCTAAGGTGGGACACCCCCCAGCTGAGGTTCACGACACACCCATTTCTCCCCTCCCTCAGCCAGGGGCGGCTCAGGCGCCCGTTCCAGCCTCGCGCGCCAGCCCCAGTCTGCCCCAGCGTGCACCTTCATCCCCAGGACATCCCGATAGAAACGCGCGGTCTGGAAGCGGTTTCCCACTTTGAACACGAAGTGCAAGGCTCGGCGTGCAGCCATGATTCCCGCAGCTGTTCAGCCGTCACGCACCCGGCGCCGCCCCGCCCACAGACGGCGCACCGGGCCGGTGACGTCACTGGCCGCCGCCGGCGCGCGTTCCTGACGGAGGCCGCGGCTCGGGGAAGATGGCGGCGCCGGCGCGGGGTGTGTGGTTTACCATGCGACCGTTGCTGCCGGTGGTCCAGTCTTGGGACGTCGAGGCGCGGCGCTGGGTCCGAGCGCTGCGGCGGAGCCCGGTGAAGGTGGTGTTTCCATCCGGAGAGGTGGTGGAAAGGAAGCGTGCTCCTGCGAAGCAGCCCCGCAAGGCGGCGTCTGAGGCCAGTTCCCACGGGCAGCAGCAGAAACAGACGCCTCAGGGGTCTCCATCCCAGACGCCCAACACCTGGGAAGAGTCGGGGCTTCGCTACGATAAGGCTTTTTCCGGGGACAGGAGGCTGAGGTGATGTGTTCCTGAAGCTTGAGTGTTCTTGTTTCAGTTCCCGCTTCACAGCGGGACCTTAACCTTCTATTCCTGATTGAAGGACTTTTTACAGTACAACCTGCTGGGTTTTATTATACACAGAGAGGAGAATAAGTGTCTTCTTTGGAATTTGTTTCTGCCTCTGCCAAGCTCTGTAAGCCCGTTAGAAGTAGGTGTGTCTTAGTAACGAGGATGTTGGTAATTACTTGTCTTTTTGTTTCCACCCACAGCAGTGTAATGACAATAGTTAAGTCCAGGCCATTTCGGGAAAAGGAAGGGAAGATCCTGCTGGAAGGTCGCCGGCTTATTGCTGACGCTCTCAAGGCTGGAGCTGTGCCGAAAGTTTTCTTCTTTAGCCGCCTGGAATACATAAAGGAGCTGCCAGTCGATAAGCTGAAAGGTGTCAGCCTCATTAAGGTGAAATTTGAGGATATCAAGGATTGGTCCGACCTAGTAATGCCACAAGGAATAATGGGTCAGTGATTTATTAGTGTATAGAAAGTCTTTTATCTGCATATGGGAAGATAAATTCTTTATACCTTTTTGACATTGGAGTTATGTTTAAGATCTAAGAACTGAATGACAACAAGTGTAGAGGTTTCTCTTGAATGGTAAGGGACGATTGGAGGAGGTGGAGTTATCTTCAAGGTTCTAACATCTAGGCCAGGTCTTCTCACACCACTTGTACATGTGTATTCCCTATAGTGGGTTCACTGATTCCATCCTTGAACTGTAACCCGGAAAGGAAATTCTGGTGGACCATCTTTTGTCTCTGTAACACAACGAGTTACAATGATCTGTGCCCCTACACTCAGAGCGCTTGGACCTCAGGATGGGAACTCGGAGGACTAAAGTACCTAGAGTTATCACACCAAGTAATCATACTCTCATTAGCTACACCTGTCTAATGTCCACTCCATGCTTCAGTGAAAGCATCATTGATTTTTACTGTGCTTCCCACTTTGGGCATGTGAGCTAACACTGGCCAGCCCATTTTGGACTTAAGTAGCCTCCTTCATCATTATTACTACTTTCATCATTTCATGGCTTTAAAAATTTTATATTCGGCTTATCCTGATATTGTTATATTTTAGACTTGAGGGGGACAAAGAGAGAAATTCATAGGAACTAGCACTACTGTCAAACTTTAGGCATTCTCTAAAACCCAGTGATGTAAGTAGGGCCTTTCTAAGTAGTGGGTTTGCATCACCATAGACATTCAAGTAGAAGTTAAAGGACTTCTAAAGTTCTTTACTCTTTTGAATGGTTTTTTGGCCAACTGTGACTCTTAAGTGTAGGATCTCTTATAGCACACAGATGTCTAATATTATTCCATTGCCTCCATTGGCAGGTTAGGCTTTTTACCTGCATTGTCTTTTGGAAAGAATCCTAAATTTTTCATTCTGTTGTGTTTCAGTACAAGTACTACTTTATTCATTTACTAACTTCAGGCAGTAGCTCATTTATTGGAGCAATTATATACAACAAAATGGTAGTAAAAATTTTAAAAACTATATAGTCCCTTGAGAGCATGTTCCAAAGAGAATTTAATCTTTATTTGATATTACTCTGTGTGTGTGGGTGGGTGGGTGGGTGTGTATAAAATTTAGAATGATGCTTGACCTAAAAAAAAGATCATCACTTCTACCAGTAAACGCTGTCATTCAAAAAGAAAATTGTGGCTAAGTAGTATACCCACACAAATAACTTCATCTACACCATAGAAATTCCATATACCTAAAAACCATTTTTATTTTAATATTATAATAGCCTTTTTCCAGTTTTTCCCTTGTCCCCTAAATACTTTCTATAAAATTTTGGAAGATGAAGGATATAGTATAGAGATTATTAAATAAGGAGAGAATTTTTCACTGAGGCCACTTAAGGTTTTCCTTTTTCCAAGTATCCTCAAGCCCCATTTGTACTCCTTTGTATTAGACTGAGGACAGAGAGGTCATGAGGTAAATGGTTGTGCCCATTCTAAAACTCCCAAGCTTTTGGACTCCAGCATGAGAACTTAGAAGTGACTTAGCCTTCACTGCACCCACAGCCCCTTCATTTTGCAGAGCACTTTGCAGAGCATGTCCTTAAGATAGTGCTGCTGATTTTTAATTCAGATTTTTTCTTAGGAATGTACTTTGAATTTTAAGATGAGCAGTGAAAGATAAGTCTTAAGTCTTAAATATTTAATTTAAACCTACAAATATTAAAAAAACCTAGTGTGAAAATGAGCAAAGGCTATAGAAATAAGACAGATCAGAGAAGAGGAAACAAGTGAGTGAAGGAACTAACTGAAGAGGATCACAAATGGTCAGTTAAGAAAAGACATTCAGGCCAGGCATGGTGGTTCACACCTATAATCCTAGCACTTTGGGAGGCCAAGGTGGGCCGATCGCTCAAGGTCAGGAGTTTGAAACCAGCCTGAGCAAGAGCAAGACCCCGTCTCTACCAAAAAATAGAAAGAAATTAATTGGCCAACTAAAAATATATAGAAACAATTAGCTGGGCATGGCGGTGCATGCCTGTAGTCCCAGCTACTTGAGAGGCTGAGGCAGAAGGATTGCTTGAGCCCAGGAGTCTGAGGTTGCTGTGAGCTAAGCTGACGCCATGGCACCCTACCTAGCCTGGGCAACAGGGTGAGACTCTGTCTCAAAAAAAAAAATGAAATGATGTTTAGCCAGGCACAATGGCTCAGACCTATAATTCTAGCAATTTGGGAGTCCCAGATGGGAGGATCACTTGAGCCCAGGAGTTTGAGACCAGCCTGGGTATAATAGTGAGACTTTGTCTCTACAAAAAGTTAAAAACTTAGCCAGGTGTAGTGGTGCATGCCTGTAATCCCAGCTACCTGGGAGGCTAAGGCAAGAGGATTGCTTGAGCCCAGGACTTGGAGCCTGCATTGAGCTATGATGACACCACTGCACTCTTGCCCAGGCAACAGAGTGAGATTCTGTCTCAAAAAAAAAAAAAAGTTCAATCTCCTTAGTAATCAGGGAAAATGCAAGTTAAAATAATAAAATGCCATATTTCCTATCAAACTGGCAAAAATTGAAACAAATGGAATAATAGACCCTCTGTTGACAAAGGTTGTAGCTGTTTCTTAACAGGTATTTACTAGTTCCTGATGTATTTAATAAATAAATTGAAATAGCATGTGGGGAGAGCAAATTGTATTATTTGTTAACATTAAGAATACACACTGTCCATTTCACTTACAGGTGTTTATGCTAGAAAAATTTTTGCACATAGGCACAAGTCATAGAAGGGTATTCATTGCAGCATTGTTTGTAATGGGGACAATTTTAAATTTAACCATCAAGAGGGGAAGAACTAAGTGAACTGTGGTACATTCACATTATAAAATAACATGCAGCAGTTAAAAGAATAAGGTCGCTTCAAATGTTAAATTTTTCAAGACATGTTATGTTATTGAGTAAGTAAATTACAGAATAATATATGGAGTATACTATTTTTTATGTTAAAAATAAAAGCTCCTGCTGGGTGCAAGTGTCTCATGCCTATAATAAAAAGTATCCAGGCGTGGTAGTGTGCATCGGTAGTCCCAGCTACTCAGGAGGCTGAGGCAGGAGTATAACTTGAACCCAGGAATTTGAGGCTGTATGTGAGCTATGATTGCGCCACTACACTCCATCTTGGGTGACAGAGTGAGACTCTGTCTCTAAAAAAAATAAAAGGTAAAAAATAAAAGGTTCCTATATATGGGTAGATGTGCATATATGTAGGTAGATGCATAGAACAAGTTCTGAAAGAATATATTCCAAGACTGAACACAGTTGAGGGAGGAGAGTGGCACTGGTAGAATTTTATGTTGTTTGAATTTGTTCACAGTGTAGTCATGTATTCTATGTAATTAAGAATATATAAAGAATGCTAAATAAATGAAAAGTGCAACTATTCCTCATGCCCACATCAGATAAGTGAATCTTCCTGTTTTGTTTCCTCAGGGATTTTTGCCAAACCTGACCATGTTAAGATGACATATCCAAAGACACAGCTTCACCATTCACTGCCTTTATTGTTGATTTGTGACAATCTCCGTGACCCTGGAAACCTGGGGACAATTCTGAGATCTGCTGCTGGGGCAGGCTGCAGCAAAGTATTACTCACCAAAGGTAAGAGCACCTTTGGTGCTCAGGTAACTGGTTGGCCATTTTTAAGTGAACCAGGGCTCTGGGCAAATATGTATAGGGTCGAATCTTGGCTCTGCCCCTTAATAGCTATATGTCCGTGAGCAGTAGTTTAAGCATTGCTTTCCTCATCTGTAAAGGGGGATTAATAACAGTCTCCCTGGTAGTGTTATTTTGAGGATTAAGTGAGATTATGCACATAAAGTACATCATGCCATGCCTAACATGCAATAAGTAATTTAGTAAATGTTGGTTATCTTTTAAATTATTTTGAAACCTGCTAGTTTATTAAAGAAGAATTTTAAATCGGTCAGGGAAAAGAAATAGATGTCAATTTTAACACTTAGTTCAAGTCCTTTATTTAATGATCTTGCATTCCCAAATTGTTGGGTATATGAGACCTTCCTAACTCTTGAATTCTGAACCCTATGAAAGGAATGATATCAACAGGATGTGATTATACAGTCGTAATA